AGAGTTGTTGGTGAAACTAGTTAATTTCACCAGGAAACTGGTGCACCATTAAAGATTTGTTTCATCTATAACTCTAGTTCACTATCGGTGCACCAGTTTCAACAGTTTTATCTGGTGCACCATCGGTGCACCATTGAATATTAGTTTCACCTGCAACTCTACTAAATAAAACCCGAAAATTTAAATATAAATCAATTTAAATTTTCAGGTTTTCTTTTAGCGACACTCATTTATAATTCTGTTTATTTAAATTAAATTTTGCATTCATACTTATAAATCACCAGGAATTTTAAATATGCAAATTTTCGTTAAGACTCTTACTGGAAAAACGGTAACTTTAGAGGTAGGATCTTCGGATACTATCGCTGAAGTCAAGCAACAAATTGAAAGCAAAGAAGGTACATATGCCTTAGAAAAAGCAAACTAAAATTGGCACTTTGAAAACAAAGAATATAAACCCAGTTGAGTTAATCTAACCTTTTTTTTTAGGCATTCCACAAAGTCAACAACGCCTGATTTTTGCCGGTAGACAACTTGAAGAGCACTATACATTATCCGATTATAACATTGGAAAAGAATCGACACTTCATCTTGTATTGAGGTATGTTGCATATATTTATAATAGCATATGTACGTTCAACGAAAGTAGAATATAACATTTTAGCAGATTAAAAGGTGACTTTGGATCCGCAATTTACTCCTTGGCTTGGGTAACCAATAAACCTTCACTACATCGGTTACAGGCACATAAATAATTCAGTTGTATTGAAGGTCGTAAACGATTCACGCGATGATCCAATGAAAGTTTTTCTAGAGGTATTTTGAGATGCTTGAGATTTATTATTATATTTCAGTATTTTCGTAAAATCATTATTAATCTATTCAAAATAGGGTAGTTTTATATGGGGCTTAATGAGAGATGAAGTAGCCTTTACTCTCCGATGCCACGGACTCACAAGAGATCCCTTAACTCAAGATTTTGCATTCGTCTTACAACTCGCACCTGAAGGAAGTTTAAGAGATTATCTGAAAAATACATCTTGGGACAACACATCGTGGAATACTCGTCTTCAATTTTTAAATATGATTTCTATCAACCTTTACACACTTCACAGACTTGGGGGATTCATCGAGATCTTCATAGCGGAAATATACTTGTACAATTGCCATTTAGTGCCTACATTGTAGATTTTGGGCAAGCTAAATATGCAAAATGTTCGGGTGTAAATTGTGCTTGTGAAAATAATAAATCATATGGTGTTGTACCCTATGTGGCACCAGAATTGTTCGAAAATAAGCCACACACCCAAGAATCCGATATTTATTCATTTGGTTTGCTGATGTGGGAATTATCATCAAGTGAACCTCCTTTTATGGACAGAAAACATGATATCTATTTGAAGATAGATATTCACAGGGGCTTGCGGCCAGAAATTGTTCCCGGTACTCCATCATGTTACGTTGAATTGATGAAAAGGTGTTGGAATGCTGATCCTTTAAAGAGACCTAAAATAGATGAAATCTGTAATATTGTACATTCCTGGCTGGAAATCAGTAATAATAATAGAAACTCAGATATTGATAGCTTTAAAATTGCTGATGAATATAATAAAAAGAATCCAAGGCCAAAAACTCGACAACACTCTGGTGCAAATTATTCAAACAGTTTGATCACAAGCATAAGCGAAGAAACCTTAGCTAATGATGAGTTATTGCTCAAAATAACACCAGCTGATTTTAAATAATATTTTATGTAGTTCTTTTCTGGATTGTTTGTGCATTATTTTAGTTGTTTTCTTAGTGTTGGTTATTGTTATATACTAGATACAGCAGGATCGCGAAATTATAGAATTATGCATATATATCAGAGACCCGTAAAAATTATTTGGATTATACAAAAAATTTGTTTGGATAATTGCAAAAATTTGTATAAATTTGGATAATATTTTTTAGAAGCATTTACAGATAAAGGATCAAAAATAAAAATAATTACAAATAAGGGACCAAAAGAAAAATAATTACAAATAAAGTCTTAATATTTGAAAATTATTACAAATAAGGACTCAAATATACTGTTAAAATTGCTAACTGATTTAACTATCATGATATACTGATAAATTGCCTCATTTCGTGATTAAATAAGTGTTTAAGTTATTATTCATTATTTGGAATTAAAAAGAAAACACAAAAATCTGACCAACCAAATGAATTTTTGAGCAAAATGAAAAATTAATTTTGTGTGATCTAATAGCTTTACTTCTTAAACTACTATATATGGAGTCTCAGCTCTTACTTCAAAATGAATATGATTTATAATATCACGAGGTTGACATGCTGCTATTTCTTTAATTAACAGTACAGTAAACTTTACAATATATAATTTATGTACTTTGAATACTTCTATAGAAGTTAAAAAAGTTGGATCATAAGAAATTAGTCTTACTATATGAATGCATCCACTTTTGCATTTGTAAGCTGAAATAGTAAAAAGGTATGAACTAGTTTAGTTTGTAAAACAAGTAGCAACAGCTTATTTTGTTTGTTTATTCTGAACTTATAAGAAGAAAAAAGTTTGACAGAATAACTATCTAGAGCCGAATGAACAATTTATGTTAGTAAAATCATATTGATCTGTAATTTTGTATTTGATATAGTTTTTGTTATAAGCAGACAGGTTTTTAAGAAATATATTAAGAATTGTGATAGTAATTTGATTATCTATTCTAACCAATCAAAATCGTAAATTTTATAAAAATACTTGAAGATAGTCGTTTTGAGTTTATATAAACTCAAAACGACTTAGATTAGACTATAATAGCCTCAGGTATAATGAGCATTTTGCATTTGCGTCGTCATTCGAGTGATGAACGATTTGCGCTTGCGTCGTCAGAGATATATTAGTATTCGCTCCATCATGAGAGTGACGATTAGTTTATATGTACATCGTCATTTGAGTGACGATTGGTTCACGAGTTCGTCATCATACTTAGGTACCCATGATTTATAAAAAATATGACGACAAATTTGTGTTCACATTGTTACACTTAGATACCTCACGATCTATAAAAAATATAACGATAATTTTATATTCACGTTATCACACTTGGTCGCTTTGATGGGTGATGGCTTGTATACTCAGTTATGCTATCAAAATGTAATCGTTCATGTTCACTACCCTAGAATGCATTTAAAATAGATCTAATCATGTCCAAGAAAAAAATCCGTCCAGGTTTTGTCTAGATAAAAATTTGTTAACTTGGATGGATAATGTTATAGAAGAAAAAGGTTAAATTTTGTTTTAACTTGTTCTTCTATACTTGTTCTATTTTCATCTAAAATGTCTACATAAAAAATAGAATTCTAGAAAAAATATCAAACTCTTTCCTATAGTATATATTATATATATATATATCTTTAGTACATATATGACATATACTATATACATATCTTTGGTACATATACGATATATATATAGTATATCTTTGATATATATATTACGTATACCTACTTCTGATATAAACATAATATATATATATAAGGTATATCTATAATATACGTTCTATACACATAGATAAAAAATATAAAAGTAAAAAGATCGAAAATTTATCTAGACAACCTAAACAACTTGGATGGCTAAAACCTTTTTTTTTGCCTCAAAAACATTATTTAGCTATCTTTTTTCGTTCAGGAAATTCGTCCAAGAAAAATTTACTTAGTCAACCTAGACGAGACCCCAACATATACCTTCATACTATATATTTTTTACAATACCATTATGCACCATCTTTTCTAGCTTCTTCTGCTAATATCGATCCCGTCTTCGATATTTATCTGCATGAGTATCACAATAGTAATAACCAGAATAAGTCAACTTACCACATTCTTTACAGGGTACGCGTGGTAGAGAATTCCAGTGAACTTTACACTCTTCAGGCCTATAGCAACCTCGATTACAAACTTTTCCAGTCCTAAGAATATAGGGGCAACGATAAAATGCTATATTTATATGATTTTTGATATAATAATTATTATCTACTGATAACTATTCTTTAGAATAAA